CCCCCCCCCCTGTCTTCACACCTTTTCCCCCTCTATCTACCTGCCCTATATGCAACAACGTACCCCCGTACACCTTTGTGTTGCGTGCTCAAACCAAAGGGCAGAAAAAAACCAAACCAAAACCAAACCAAACAACGAAGGCAGGAGAGAAGAGGGCGTTGTTCGTCTGGGGTGTACTTTGAGTCAGGATAAGATAACGGCCATACTTCGCCACGAAAAGACGTCACCATTCATACATCTGTTAGCTGATAGTCAGCCTAGCACATAAAAGTTGTTTTTTTTAAATATGACTTTCATGTACGATACATGGTGGCTTTTAATTAAGGACAAGCGGGCCAACCCAGATTCCGGGCGTTTCCAGAAATATTGACTTACGCCAAAAGTGGACAGAGTCTATTGCCCTACCTATAGGAGACGTTTGGTTTCATTGGTGTGCATATATTTGTTTGGTAATAGAGAAAACGCTCCTTGTCTTTTAAAGAAACTGAACAAAGGTCCAAAATTTTACCTTCGATTTTCTAAAAACAGCATTTTTCGGGATAGCCCCCTTGTGCTTAAAAGCGACCTCATATTGTCCTACCATGTCTTTACGTGACCTATTTGTTTTGCAAGTGCCGTAAAACTCTAAAAACATATCTTTATACATCTTTGCCCTTCTGCTAGAACTTCCCCCTTCTCCCAGGTTGATTCTCAGAGACAGAGTCAAGTTCAAGGCAGCTAATCTCCAACTTTTGGCGGACATTTTGAGGAAAAACAACAAGAAAAATGCAGCACTGGAATGGAAAAGCAAGCGTAGAAGTACCAATGCCCTCACCAATTCAAGTAAAGTTGTTCCCTCATTCGATCCGGACATTGGAGATTGCCTTGATAGTGAGAAAACTTCCTGGGCCTTCGGCATATTGTGGTAGGGTGGCCAGTTCTTTTCCACGCAGCTTTTACTTCCCCAACTTGAAGTCATGTACCCATTACTGCTGGGTGGGCAGGAGGGGGCGAAAATAATCCGTGTCCGAACAGAAGCTCGAACCCGAACTTTCCGCTTCGGAGACGAGCGCACTAACCGCTCCTCCATCGTGCCCTCCCCCACCAACTACCAATTATAATAATATTTTTTTAAATGATCAAAGGTTTGCAAAGAAAAAGAAAAGCAAAAAGCAAAAGGAGGAAGGATTAGGTCAGAGGTGAGTGTGCCGGAGACGTCCTCCAGAATTAATGGGGGGGTGCAGAGGAGACAGTACCTTATCACAAATTAATTGTTTCATTCATACATGTGCCATAATATTGGGTGATTTGTTTCTATTGTTTTCAAGTCATTTATGTCTTCTATTTAGACATGAATGAGTTCCATAATTAAAAGATTTCTAAATTACGACAATCATGTTTCTGCCATAATATTCAGTTTGTGTTGTTCATATATTAATTATTTTAACCCTGGATTTGTTTCTGTTCTTTACTATCATTTCAAGATATGGGTTAGGGGTAAAAAAGTAGGCGAAACCCTAAATTAAGAGACTTTAAAATTACTATTAAAAACCCCACAGGCGAAGTTTCATAAAGACTCATCCAATTTCTATGCTGGAAGAAATTTCCCCGTCATTGTGCAGGGCGCTATTGAGTTGAAATAATATTCAACAATTCGGAGCCAACATCAAATTAAATTTAACGCTTGTTCAAAGTCCAATACCTAAGCGTCTTTAACGCCGCAAGCATTTGAGAGAAAGCAACACGTACAGCGTATAGCCTATGATTATTAGTGTTTCATTTGTTCTGTCGGTTCCAAAGGCAAAGACAGCACAGGGAATTGTTGTTAGCAACACACACACACACACACACACACAC